GTTTATAAGGCCTCTCGAAGAGCGAGACTGTGAAAATGCATGGTCGTGCTCAGATGGATTTTAGAAATCATCTGCTTATTGACAGTCAAACTCGGATTTCGAGAAACACTTCTAGACGTAACAGAGATGACGAGTAATCTTACTCTGTAATTCATGAAGAGACATAAGAAAGGGGCTATACACTAAATGCACACTTTTCCGGAAAGACAAGTGGGAGATTGAAAGGAATGGTGTCCTTCGAACAAGTGTATTATTCTGATGGCGGGTTCAGAATTATTAGAAAGCTAATACATTCAGTAAGGTCAAGTGATCGAAATACCTGGGTGGAGGCCGCTTCCGATCAGTAATATTAATATAATAATATTACAGCTTAATCTTGACTGAACCCTTCGGGTCACACCCAAGCAAAATATACGAACCGACTCGACGAATTAATTCAGAAGACATTAATTCGTCGCCCGAGTATTAAATATTTAGACGTCGGAAATTCAAGCTTGGAGCGTCGAAACCGAGCGTCGGAGAATCTCAAATGTCGAGCCAAAATTTAGGATTTGGCAAGACCGAAAAATGCTTCAAGTAACAAGTGGCAGCGTGCCATGTTGGCAGCGCGCCACGGTGGCGGCACATGTGGCAAGGGGCTGTGGACCCGGGTGATGGGTCATGGATACGGGCCAAAAGAAAGTGGCCTAATCGAACCCAACTTGGGGCTCAAGGTTGGGTGACACATGGTTAGTGCACAATGCATGTAAAATGCCTTGGGGACCAAGTGAGAAAGTGGTCCACTCCTAACCATGTGACACTTGTTACATGTTCCTTGGTTTATTTAACTAAGGGTTGAATTCACCAATCTTTCCATGTGGGATCTTTTTGTGAAAAGTCCCACATTGAAAGATGAGTGGAATTCACAAAGCATACTTCCTTATAAATAGTCATGGCATGGCTTGAGAATTCTTTGCTTGAGTGGGAATTAGAAAGAGCATTCCATTTTTTGGTAAAAACTCTTAAACTCCATTAACACTTGGGTTTTGGTCGGACCTTGCTAACTCTAAGGTAGCGGACCTAAAAAGTCGTGTTCGTCCTTTGTGGGTGGATACCGTTGGAGGCACGACATTTGAGGTGCTCAAGGCTTTCAAGTAAGAGCCCATTTTGAGAGGGCGAAGCTCCCTTAAAGGGTATGATTCGTTCTTCCTTTTCTTGTGTTTATTTATTTATGCTTTATGGTTTTATTAATTACGAGTGGTTCCTTGGGTTGGGGTTGTTTCCACAGTGAGTCGGACTCACCAAACCCCAACATATAGCACGTTTTATCTATTTTAAAGAATCTTTAGAAAAGTAGTGAACAATATTCACTTGCTGAGTCATGGCTTTCTGTAAGTCAAAGAAAGTGTCGGTGACCTTTGTGAGTCTTCCCATATATAAAGGGCACTAGGCAAAGAAGTGAAGTCAAAGTTGAAAGAGTTAGCTAGAGAACTGCTTTGAAAGCATTAGAGAGTCCTCTTGAGAAAAATACTCACCTTCTAAGACAGATTGGTTCTCCATCTTTATTAAAGTAGAGAAAACTCTAGTTCTGCTTACGTCTGTTTAAGCTTCCAGTTTGTGTGTTCGTTGTAATATATGAGTGTTGTAATTCTGTGAAATTAAATAAAAGTTTTGTTCAATAAGGGAATATTATCCCCTTGAACCTTATGTATCAAATGAGTTACCTTTATGTTTAATAAGTTCCATCATAAACACATTAAAGATTGTTTAGGTTGAGATTACGATCTAAGGTAAGAAACGAAATATATTTGTGCTGAGCTTGATCTAAGGAAGACAGGGTAAGGGTTAGCTACCTTGGTAAAGCCGAAAGCTCAGAATGTCAGAGGTTCCATTGTCGACTAAGTTCAGGTATTGGTCAAAACTCTCTAGTTAAAGAATTATTATTGTGAAGCATGATGGGCTGTTAAATTGTTAAAGTAAAATATTTCGATGTATAATTAGTAGAGTTGTGATAACTGGTACCATTAAAAGTCATTAATTAAGAAACAAGTGAACATAAATTTATATTAATTTATAAATAGTATTATTTAAAAGGTCGTTGGTGTCATAGAGAAATACCAAATAGAAGTTCGTTGGTATCCCATTTAGAAGTCCGTTGGTACCAAAGAAGAATACTAACTAGACTTGCCTTGGTTGTTGTTGGTATACCATCGACATTAAAAACAATCCCAAACCATCAAAGACAAAAGCATCTCTTAGAGTCCAAGAGAACCCTACTTAGTAGAGTCCAAGAGGACCCTACTTAGTAGAGGATGACAAATTATGGATTCAATATGGTTTCTGTACTAAATGGAAAAATATCAGTAATGGTGGAAGACTGGCAAGGGATAAATGGATAATGAACAATTTAGGATACAATATCTAAAGTGACATTATCGATCATCATCACATTCCCAAAATAGCAAAACTATCTTGGTGTCGTGATTGTAACATGGCAATCAATTAGTAAGCTAGTAGTTTGCTGTCTTCATAATCATCCTCTCCAACTCAAAAAGTTGTTCAAACAATTTCCCTCCATTAAGAGCTTATCAACTCTAAAGGTGACTATTTGTTACTCCGTAATATGATAGATTTTGTTTTCTAATTCTAATACTCCTTCCGTTTGAAGCAACATTTGTACTTGAAGCACTATTAAGTAAATTACTTTCACTTGTATTCCTTCTGTCCCATAATAATACTTGGGACATTAGGATAGACACGTAGTTTAAGAAAATTATAAGTGAGTACATTTAAAATATTTGTTTATTTAATAATTTATATTATAGTAGCTTAAAATGATCTTATTATGTTTAAATTTGATTGGTAGATTTTTCCTTTTTTAAAAATACTTTGACAAACTTTCTTTTTTATTTGTTTCTTTTATGGAGTATTTAATTCATTTTCTTTTTTCCAGTAATTAACTTCTAATTTTTTGATAATCAATTTTATGCTTTTATAATCTATACTAATATATTAAAAGATGTTATTAACAATGTCTTTGTGCCATGTAGACCATGCGACGTCACCTACTCCATCTCTAATTATGTCACATCATCACTACTCAATGAACTTGAATTATTATGTCATGTTACCCAATATTGGGTCATATAAAAAGATGATGATAAGGGATTTGAATATCCAACCTCTTATAAGAAGGATGGTTATTTAACCATTTAAGCTAATTATATTTATGTTATGAAGATAAAAAAAATGTAGATAATTGATAATCAAAAGGTCTAATATATTTATATAAAAACTAGACCTTTGATTTTACCATCTAAGCTAATTATATTTATGTTATCAACGCGGTGCAACGCCCGAGCTATACACTAGTTATCTTATTAAAACCGGTTTATATTAAAATTAAAGAATCAAAATCAAAATTTGGCTAACAACGTTAATTCGTTCTGCCGTCAAAGGTGATCCTTTCTGCATTAATTCCTTGGAATCCGAGCTCATTAACGCTGATTTACGTCCCATTCTGATTAAAGCCTTCTCAATTTCTTTAACCTCTTAAATTATTGGTTTTTTTTTTTTTTTTTTTTTTTTTTTTTTTTTTTTTTATCTTTCATCCTTATTTATCCCCAATTTTTAGGGTTTTTCTGTGTTCGTATTTAAAATTTGAAATAATTTAATTGAATCCTTTTGGGGAATATGGTGGTTGATTAATTATCTTAGTATGTTTAATTGTTTTTTAAGTTTGAACCTAATATCTTGATTGAGATTGTCCAATTAAAATACATTATTCTAGAATTAAAAACCAATTCATATCCGCTAGAACCATTATTTCGAAAATCTTAAAATTTCGCATATGCTGTATAGATTGGGGCATATTTTTAATCTTCATCGATGCACGAGTGTATTTACGAGACATGAATTGGTGGTTTATTTCGTCCATGGAGAAAAGAAATGAAGAACCATGAAGAACGAACCATGAAGAACAATTTTTTTTAATAGTATTTCTAATTTAATTTTTTTTTTGACAGTTATTTCTAATTTAATTTAATCTTATGTTTTAATCTTTAACAAAACTGACTTTAATAAAATAATTATGAAAAAAAAAATTTAATTTTCAAAAAATCAGAAAAAAAATTTAGAAAAAAATGATTTTAGAAAAGAAAAAAAATTAAAAAAAGGTTTGACCAAAGATTAAAAAAAATGGACCAATAGAATTTAAAAATAGTGCCGGTTATATTAAGGATGACCGTAGTAAAATATTCTCTTTTGTATTTTTATGTGGCAAGAAAACAACAAAGTGGGGTGGGAGTGGGATAGGTGAGGAGAGAGAAAATATGAGAAAATATTTTTTTATTAGTGGTCTCATTCCATTTTTAGTAATGTTTCAAGTATTGTGGGACGGACAAAAATGGAAACTGTGTCAAGTATTATGAGACGAAAGAAGTATCTTTTAGTAATTACTATACAAATAATACATCATAAATGTTAATTCCTCTGTTTCTTTTTACTTGCAATGCACCTTTTACTGGCGGGGTTACAAATATTAACATTAAAAGGTTCCAGTGCAATTTTGTTATAGGCCCTAAAATTATTTGGAAATATTGCTCCCATTAATCTGAACTTATCCTCGTTCGCCAAAAATAATCCCTACTTTCACTACTACAAAAATAGGCTAAGAGACCCGTTAAAACATGCCTTAGAGACCCGTTTATGACGGGTCTCTATCTCAGAGGTCTCTTTGTTAAAGAGACCCCTCATTATGGGGGGTCTGTTTTTAAAAACAAATAGACCCGTTAATAGAGATAAGGGGTTTGTTTGGTGTGTGTATGATTGATGCACGTTTAAGGGAAAGGGACCCGTTATTTGCAATAGGGGGTCTCTTTAAGGGGTGTCAAATAAACCACATTTATTAAATAACGGGTCTGTTTGATCCCTTTTTTTAAAAAATATATATATAATTTTCACATTTTTAAAATTTTTTACGCTAATATAAAATAGTTGTTTTTTTTTTTGCAAAATTACGAAATTACAATTTAACATCAATAATATTTCTTTTAAATAACAACATTAGTATTATACAACATTTACGAAGAGAAAGAAAGAAAAAAATACAACATTTACAAAGCTATAGATCTAAATTTACAAGTATATAATTACAAAACGAAAAAATTAAAACTCTTTAGTTCAACAAGTTATACAAACACAATTCCTAAACATATTCAATTGATATTAATCTTTCAACCCCACGCACCAAAGTATTGCAGTCAACAAATTTGCAAATCATAATTATGTCTTCCTTCCCGTAGTTGAAAATTTCGTCCACTATCTCCATTTAATTCATATACTGCAATAATCAAGAACAACCCAAACTAAAAAATCAAAATACCAACCATAAGAAGAAATTGGACATAAAAATTGAGAATAAACTAAAATAGAAATTAACCATTAATTAAAAAAAAATTAAATAGTCCAAGTTTATGAATATGAAATCCCCAAAATCAAAATCAAGAAAACTCAAATCCAAACCCTAACAGATAGATCTAAGAAATATAAATTGTTATCCACCCCGATTACCAAAATACCTTCATTTCTTTGAACAAATCCCAGTTGCTATTGAATCAGCGTAAGGAGATGCCGGCATTTCTCGACCGTGACTCTGAGGGACGTATAAACAAAACAAAAAAAAAAAACCCAGAAACCGACATCAAGGCCTTTTAAAAACAGCGAACAAGATGACCACGAACGATTTCATGGTTGAATTCTACAATTTCACAAACAAAAAAGAAGAAGACCATAGACATCATTGTTGAATCTCAACATACGATCTAAGAGACGGAGTAAAAATCACGAATGTGAGAGAAAACTATATACCTTAGAGCATGATTTTCTTAAGGAGATGGTAGGAGTCGCTTCAACATTTTTAGGAAATTTTTATAGCTTGGAAGATAGTCGGAGGATGGAAGAGAAGATGAGGATTTAAATTTGGGGATTGAGGTTAGGGTTTTGAGGAGAGAGAATGTAAAAATAAGAGAGCATGCATTAAAGGACGAAGGAAGAGACCCGTGAAATTTAATAACGGGTTTCATATCCTTTCATCTTTTGTTCTTCAATCAAGTGTGTGGGCCCTAGTACACCTAAAAGACCCGTTGAGTGCATAATTAAGTCTTTTATATCTCATATATTCTTTAGTAGTGGGACCTAGGATATATAAGAGATCCGTTATATTAAATATTGGATCTCTTACATCAAACAGACCCGTTTATTAAATAACGGGTCTTTCATAAGCAGTATGTTTTCCAATTTTTGTAGCAGTGTTTGGATTATTCCCCATCACTCCCAAATTTAGGGGGTATTAATTTCTATTGCACCCAAATGACTTGCAACCGGTTAATCAGGTAAACATTTGTAAATTAGTTTTTTTTTTTTTTGCACCCGTGTCAATATATAATTGGTTGAAAAACAAATAGACAAAAAAAATGTAAAAAAAAAACAAACCTAAAACCAACCTAGCCACCCATAGCAGCCTGCTGCCACCAATGACCACCCCGCAGCAACCCACGGCCAGCCCAACACCCTTCCCCTCGAGCGTCGATCGCCGCCCAGTCATCCTTTCCCTCTCTTAGTGTCGGCGACGCCAGACCACCCTCTCTTTTCCCTTTAAAAGACCCATTTGTGTCTCCCCGAAACCAAACCCGGTGATGAGTACCTTTCACGTCGAATCATAATCGAATGAAGTGAAAGTGTGGAAAGTTTAGTGTTGCGGATAGTTTTAATTTCTTTTATCTTCTCTCTATTTTTGAAAACTTATTTGAAGAAAACAGACAATCCAGTTTGGTTTGTCCATGATATGGGTCCAATAGTAGTGTAGTTAGATGGGGCTTGACAAGAGCTTTCCAACGATATATTATAAGCCCAATTCCGATAAATATTGAGGAAGTTATGGCCAATTTACTGAACAGGGTCCGGTTTGAGCCTTTTATGCGGCCCAATGATCTAGGAGAGGGCCTAATATAGATTTATTATTCCTAATGCAATTAGGAATGATTTTAGTCTTCTAGATTCTTCTAGAACGTTCTTTTCATTCCTAATTCAATTAGCATTGATAAATTAACTTTTGTTGACTTTTTAGAGTTTTAATTAGAATCAAAGAACATATTTTGAGGAAAATACGATTTTATCCTCCTGTACGGCAATTTTTATCTGATTTTAAGAAAACGCGTGGATTTCTGAGTCAGCGCCAAACGCTAGTTGTAGCGCCTAACGCTACGATTGGCGCCTGGCGCTAGACTTGGCGCCTAGCGCCAATCTTAGCGTCTGGCGCTAAGATCAGCGTTTGGCGCCAACTCGGTTTTTTTCGTCAGAACTCTGTTTTTGATATTTTATCTTTTGACTGATTTTCTTTATAAATAACGTCGTAAAAACTCCGTTTTGATCATCAACATTCATCCACAATCACCTACAATCATCGATTCTCTCTATTTTCACCAACTCTCATCAAGATTCTCTTGATAACTCTCTTTCTCTCTCTTTTCTAAACTAGCTTCTCTCAAATACAAAATTCCGCATTCATTATCTAGATAAACCTAGCCATATTCGAAGTTGCCTTCGCCCTAGACGTGAAAGAAAGAGGTACGAGGCATCAAAGTAAGTGCTTTAATGGTTTTTATTGATATTATGATGTTATTATGATATTCCTAGTATCATGTTTAGGGTAAAGAATAAGTTCCTTAAATTAAATATGATTGTTACGATGCCTTTTATGTTCTTCCTAATATTTATGATTGTTAGTATCATGTTAGGGTTAAATATTTGACTTTTATTGCTTAGTGACATGTTAGGGTTTGTTATTAATCTTGTTAGTATCATGCCTAGGATCTTGCTAATATTATGCTTTAACATGATTATTATGATTATTTTTCTGATTTATGATTATAATTATTATTTTATTTGTTATTTTTATTTTTATGTTGCTTGTTATTCATTGTTATTGCTTGATCACACCTTTTTATGCATGTTTAAAGGGAATTTGTACTTGTAATCACGCTTAATAAGATATTTAATAATATTGTTTAGGGTTAATTTGATTATAATTCAAGTGATTGCCAATAATAGTTTTATTTGTGCATTAATATTCAACCAACATAGATTAAACAGGTTTAGGGTAAATCTATTGATTGCATGTTAGTCAGAAAGCGTACATGAATACGATAAGAATAAAGTAGAGGCTTATTACTAGGGCAGGTTCAATCTCTTTTAGGTTGGATTTGTACCTTCATCCCCGAACCCTATTTGGTTCAAGACCTTATGGAGTTGACGATCTCTTGGATCGTTAAGGGGTGTAACCTTCACGTTGTGAACGGTTTACAAGTTTCTAAAACTTGTTAGCGACTCTTTTGCTCTATCTTCTTTCCCTTTGGACACCACCGTACTTTAGTGGATGATCATAGTGGGGTTCAAGCTAGGGGATTAACGCTTGAAATATCCCCTACAGTTTTTTGGTGACTCTGCTAGGGAAGATTTCTATTTTAATTCCTGAATTTGTTTCGGCAATGATTTAGAATTAGTGGATGAGACTTGAAACGTTCTAAGTATTTCATGTGCGTAATTTTGATTAACATTATTGTCATATGCATAAAAAAGATCTCATTGGAAAGACCATCCGTAATGAGTTAAAACATAGGATTTTACACGTAGGAAATTTGAGAAATATCTCTCACAACTAGGACCGAAATAACACTGTGCGAAACTGAAAAATTTTATCAAGCACAGAAAGCTGCTGAGGCATGTAGGAATTAGCGTCAGCGAACAGAAGCTGGCGCCAGACATTTAACCGTAGCGCCAGACGACATCCATGTCGCCAGGCGCTAAAGCTAAATCCTGGCGCCAACCTCTGTTTGTTGGCGCCAAATTCTTCTAATACCGAGCCAGAAATATGCGTTCTAATTTCGACAAGTTCTTCGCATTGTTTGCTCGATCCTTCTTCCTGATTGAGTTTTTCTCACTTTTCTGAAACCCATATGTGTTCTACATATGGACATAACCCTGTGGGAATTCATGCTCCATCTACCTGATTGAACGCTCTGAGCAACAAAGGGTACATCCAAGAATGTTGAATTGACCAAACCATGGAAGCGAGTTTTTCTAAAACTCACGGTGTCCTATCCACTCGCGCCAACCCTTCACGGTTAGGCTTCCGCGCGGTGCATCCGGACAATTAACCATGGACCCTCTATTGACTAAACCATATCCCGAACTTTAGAGACTAGAGCCATGGTTAGGTTGCAAACTCATTGCATCATATTGTGCCTACTTGACTAATTGTGCATTATTTGTTGTGCATATATATGTTTTCTTAACCGTTTGTTTGACTTGTGTTGAGATTTAATAAATTAATGACTTAAAGAACTTTGCCTAATTAATTAATTGATTAATTAATTTGAGTAAATAAAGTCTAATATTTTAATCAGAATTGACCTAGTACGACTTTAGGCATACCCCTGTTGATTAATAACACCAAAAACAGTCTCAGATTGAAGTTCCAGCATTGGCGCCAAAGTCTGAACTGTAGCGCCACTCTGTGGAGTGTGGCGCCTGGCGACATCTCTGTCGTCTGGCGCTACACTGCAAAGAGAGGCGCCAGTCCTGTCGTTTTGACGACAATTCGGATTATTGATCGAGTCATCACCTAGTGTCTAATTAACCAGTTTGCTAGTTAATTCGGTTAAATTTACTGTCAATAATACTTTGTCGAGTCATTAATTGAGTTTAGGCACTAAGTCCCATGGTCTTACAAAAGAGTCTTGTATGCGCGTTTTTTCTGTCATTTTTTTAGGGGGGTAAGTCGGATATTAATCCTCCATTTTTTCTAAAAAAATAATATACTTAGCTCTTAAAAATATACACATTATTTTTTCTTATTTTTGCCAAAAATATGCACCCATTTTTTTTTCCTCTTTAAAAAACCGTAAAGTCAAGTCGATTCGAGTCAAGTAATTAAAACGCAAAATGGTTTAAATTACAGCGCGTGGTCAAGAAAGGAAGGACAATTAATCAAAGACAACCTTTTCGTACAAGTCCAACTTTTCGACAAACCCATAGCTCGTAAGAGGAAAGCTAGGACACTAATCGCAACACAAGAAGAAGTCAATGAGCTTAGGAACCAACTGGTTATCGTGACTGAGGCACTGGAGCTTCTCACACTTAAGATAGATGATCCCGTGAAACAACAACAGATGGACCTCATGCAAGAGAGTCTAAGAAAGCTATCTAGCGACTACAAGTTTCAAGGGCTTACTTCACAAGGGGTCTCGGTGGACAAAGATCTTCTTCCGCAGAAATTCAATGCCAACGACATCCCGAAATTCAAAGCAATTGATAACCCTTATTTTCATTTAAGAGCCTTCGAAACAATAATGAGTATTAAGGTTATCGATAAGAAGGTTTTCCCCTCTCTGTTCTCACTATCTCTCAAGACCGTTTGCCAACAATGGTTCTTTTCTCTCGAGAAAGAAAAGACCTCTACTTGGGAGTCCATAGCAAACGTTTTCATTGATAGATACAAGTGCAACATTCAAGTTGAGACTGACCATAGAGAACTTGAAATCCTCAAGCAGAAAGAGAACAAAGGCTTCACCTCTTTCTTTAACAAATGGAGAGAAACCTCAGCTAAGATGATTGAGGTGCCAAGTGAAAAAGAGTCTGTAAGGTTGTTCATCAAAAACCTTCAAGAAAAATATTCCAAGCATCTCAAGTATCAAAATAATCCCCATACCTTCAAGGCCGTCTACGACATTGGGATCAATATTGAAGACGACCTGGCGAAGTTAAAAGTTGCCAACAATAACTCCAACAGTGGCTGGAAAGGAAAGAAGAACGACAATCCTTCTTCTTCCAAAACCACCCACTCAAACAACGTTAGCACTTTTAATTTAGGTGAAGTCCTTGCTATGAACAATCAAGGACAAAAGAAACCATTTAGGAGAAACTTTACTCCTATTGGCATGAGTTATGACACCGCATTTGATCGATTAAATGCAAAAGGTCTTATAACTCCTATTGGACCATTTGTGGACCCACCAGTCAAAAAGAGGTCAGCCAATTGGAACCCCAATGCACACTGTAAGTATCACCAAGGTAGGGGTCATCTCACCGAAACTGTTGGAAGCTTAAGGAAGCTATATAAGACTTAATCAATAACAACAAGCTACCATTGCCCCCTGCCAGTAAGAAGCTAAGCATTGATAATGCACCTCTCGCTCATGCCTTGGCTATCTCTGATGAGGAAAGCGAGGTTGACCCCTCGTCTCTCATTAAACCTGTCAAAGAAATCCATGCCATTGAAGAAGACGAGGAGATATTCTTCGACGCCATTGATAGCCTTCCAGAACCGTCAAGTAAAGAAGACATACAATCGCTCACACTGTCTATGATGGAAGGATCACATTTACTGCGTGAAACTCTCAAAGCTATAAAGGAACTTCAAAATAAATATGACGAGGTTCCACTCCCGAAAGATGAAACTAAGAGAGAATTCACACCCATGGGAACGACTTATGAGGAAAAACGTTTTCCTTTACAGGTCACTGAAAAACCCAAGAAGAGTAATAGAATTTACACTCCAATTGGGATCCCATATGCACAGATGTTCGAAATGCTCTCCGACAATGGCGAGATCAAACCTCTCGAACC